TGTGAATACATGCTCATGAACTAAATAACTTAGTGAAAATTTGCCCTAATTTAGGCAGGTTTTTGACCTAACTTCATGGGAATTTTTCACATAGTTCCAAGAGGAATGTTGAAATGAATTTCAAAGATGAGTTATAGAGCACATTGCAAGATTTCCAAAATGTCTAAGAACTCCTTGAGATCATTTTTGAGTAGGGAGAATCGAAGAGATGAAGTTGGCAATTTCTCACTTTGAATTCAAGCCATTTCATGAAGAACAAAATTCAAATTTGAACCTATGCTGCCTAATTCTTGCTTTACAGGTCTCAAACTTGTGTCTCACTTTATAATTTAATGCTTAATCAGTTGAAAAATCTTTAATTCAAGCCCAAGAGTCTTTGTCCAAGTTGTAATTCCATAAATGGCACAAAGTTGCCATTGCCATTTTGGAAAAGCTTCACTTTTGCAACTTTCCAATTCTTGAGCATTGGACATGGCTTCTCTACACACACAAGTCCTACATATCTAAAGAAACTTGTATAGAGCTTATACCAACTCCAAGCAGGCCAGTACAAGCATGTGGAGACTTGTTCCTTCACTTTGCTTCAAAAGTAAGAAAGTGTGCAAAAAGCCTACAACTAAAAGATCTGTTGTGAAACTGACTTAAGACTTTCTCCATACTAATACACAAACCCATTACAGTTGAGAACACGATTTATAAAGGCCTAAAACACTTTAGAACACCCTCTCACCAAAAACCTGTCAAAAACTTGCAGTTTGAGCATAAGCATAGCAATCCATAAATTGGCTCGTGCGTTTCAAGTTTTAATCATCCAGACACTTTACCTAATTCATATCTAAGTGATTCAGACCATCATCCCTGAATTGTAACTCCTCCTTCTTCATCTGCCATTTTTTTTCCAAGCTTGCAGTTTAACTTGGATAGAGAGTTCCAGGCACTTCCAAAGCGAGGCAAGGATTGGAACACACTCAGGGAGGTTCAAGCAAGATAAAGCAACCTTCAGGCCTTCCTAAATCTCACTCAAACTCCATTCACGATCTCAGCTAAAAGAGGTAAGAACTCCAACTTTTATCTCCTCATACAGGCATCCATTGGCCACAATTTGTGAAAGAAAAATGTAGATATCATTGCTACAAAGCTGTACATATCCATAACTTGCATTTATTTGGCCTGAGTTGAGAGAATTTTGAACTTGAAGTTCCTGGAAAAATTAGGTTAAGAATTAGGGCCATTAAAATTCTCTTTAATCTTGAATTTATAGTTTTAGTTATGCACATGGTTAGAATCGTGAGACAAAATGCTATAACATTCATGTTATCAATTTCCATTTTTGTTGAGAGATGAAAGAGTTACAAGAGGTCCGACTAGCTTGAGGAAGAAGATGAAGTACAGGGCTAGGAACGATTTTGTGTTATGTATATTTTATTTCATTTAGACTAACAGATGTACAGCCACCCCAGTGGCAAGGCAGCGCGTTGAAATTGCTAAGATCATGGGTTCGAGCCTTGGTGCCTGCCTTTTGCCTATTTTCTCACATTTTTTGCCATTTTCCTCACTATGCAGCGCTGGGCCTTTGTCTCATTGGGCTTTATTTTTTTTCTTCTGATGCTTACATGTTGTTTACTCAAGATACCCCCTGGCCCATATATTTTATTTATTTGTTTTATTAAATATTTTCCTTAATACATAAAATCATAAAAAATGTAAATATGATAAATATTGCATTTTTATTTTATTTTACTTTATTTTTACATAAAAAATTATATTTTATTTTAGATATATACTAATTATCTTTCTTAAATAAACTTGTGAAAAATAAATTAAAACTTAGATATATTCTTATCCTTTGTTTTTTTTATACTTGTAAATATTTATTTTGGCATATAAAAACTAAATATTTTCATAAAATATTACTTATTATTTTTTTTAATACAAAAATACACAAAAAATAATACCTAAAGAATTTTATTTTCCCTTTAATTAGAAATTAGGGTTAACCATTTTTCTCAAGAAATAATTTCCTTTTTTTTAAATATTTTTAGGATTAGGTTAAAACTCCTTTTCACATGAAAAATAAAACAAAATCTTTTTCTTGCATATACATGCCATTGCACATTTAATTTATATTGTATCTTATTTATTCAAATACTTGTACAAATTCGATTTGGTTGTAATAGCTTAATTAGATTTACATTATTGCAAATTCCCATTCATTATTTGTATTCCCCCTTCCCATAAAAATGTTGTAATAGCGTAGTAATCTTTAAATTACGCAATTTACCACTTTTATATACCATGCTAGTAATTAGGGTTTGTATGGCAAGATAAAAACAAATCAAATAGAAAACCCTAAATCCAATACAAAATCAAAGCATGAAAAAAACACACTTGCACACAAGCATCCTTAGGGTTTCTCCACTTGGTTGCCTTATATAAAAATGACCATATTACGCATGCGAAGTATCTTGGCAAAACAAACAATTATAAGATCATAGTCCCTCGATGACACTATTCTAAGTTGCCTTAAAAAATGATCTTGGTCCCTCAAAAAATGCCAAAGATACTTTGCAACATTGCTAATCATGGTTATACGATGACCCGCACCCGTCCCGTTAACATCCAAAGATAGGGTTGCTTACCAAATCAATGCTAAGACAACAATGTCAAAGGAATAGAAAATGAGCAAGAAAGACAAACATATTTTCAAAATAAACACACACATTTCTAAACATATTACAAACATTGAAAACATTTTCAAAAAGACAAACATATTTGTATACATTCTTACGAACGAGAATTATTACAAAGATTGCCTAAACAATGGCCTCTTTTACAAAATACTGTCAAACCACACAAAGCACAATTTCAAAACAAAAGCAAGTGATCTAGCAAGTAACTAAGAGCCCATGGAAAATCATGGATGAAAAGGGTTCTAACACCTTCCCTTTTCATAATCTACTCGCCGAACTCAAGAAAACATCTCAAAGGTCTTTCCTGTACTTTTTCACCTTTCCTTTTGGATAAAAGAAAAGTCAGTGGCGACTCTTGCTAAACCGCAACATTTATGATAAAACGCAAAACCTCAAGTCAGTTCTCCCGCCGTATCACAGTGTGCAACACATAAGAATCCATCTTCTCTTCATGGTGTGTGCGTGAAGAGAATGCAAAATGTCTCCGAGCAAAGTAGGCACCGGATTACAAGATAGGAAGATTTTGACCGCATTCACATCTATAAGTTGGTCTGGATTAAGGAACAGTACCAACCTATATATTAGAAGAGCCAAGACTTCTTCTAAAGCTTGAAAATCTATAGCATCCCAAAACAGTTAAGCCTTCTTAAACTAAAACTTGGCTAGAAAACCTTTGACACCTCTCCTTGTTTCCCAATTAGCCACAATGTCGGACCGTTGCAAATGTAGGGCTAATGCAATCTCCTCAGGTCATGGATCTTTCTCAATACCGGTGAAGGGTATTTGATCAAGAATAGGGACTCTCAAAAGTTGAGATAACTCTTCAATGGTGGGCACCAATTAATAATCAGGAAATGTGAAACAATGATGTTTAGGATCAAAGAATTGAAAGAGCACATGCACCATGTCTTCTTCAAAACTTGAGGTAACCAATTTGAGAAGCCGACCATATCTCTTAGTGAATGGAGAATTTTTAGATACCCTTGATTCTAACTCTTTGAGTTTAGGAGGTACCATGACAAGGTTGATTCAGATGGTATTTCTGCGAGTGGAAGCCATATCCTATAAAACAGAACAAAGATAAATCTCTAGGTCCTTGAAAATGTGAGTGAAAATGTCATGACTTCATGGGCTTATATCTTCAAATATAAGAATTTTTGTGACATCAAACATCTAATACAAAGTTGTAGAATTCATCAAGATCTACAATTTTCATGTTGAAAGTTTTCTTTGAATCATCTTGCATCTTGGTGAAAAAAGGACATGAAGTAGTGAAATTATCAAGGTTTTAAACACTTAGAAATTTTTCTAAGTCTTGAAAACTTTGATTTTTATATTGACTTTTGACCTTCTTGATTCATTTATGATCAAGCTTCTTATTTTTTAATGTCTTGATGAATTTTGACTTTTGAAACTCAATTTTGACCAAAAAGTCAAAGTTTGACTTTTGGTGTATCAGTTGACCAAATTTCAACTATCAATTGTTTAATCTTGAGAAATGTTTTGAACCATGAAATTAGGTCAATATTTTGTCCTTGAATTATTAATATTATGCTTCAAGTTATTAGATCATGTATTAGGTCAAAGGTCAATGATCAATCATCTTCGGTCAAAATCCTAATTTGGGCAATTTTTGACCTCTGATGATTTGAGGGTTTTCCTTGATGAATCATGATCAAAACTTGATAAAATGATTAATATCACTTCAAAATATTGATGATGACCAAAAATATTGAAATTTGATTGTCTATTGACCACTGTTGACTTTTTATCCAATGTAGTTGATTTTTAGTCATCTGAGCAATTGGCTAGGAAAATTTGTGATGCAAGGCTTGAAACTTGACATGTGCTTTATTGAGGACCTATGATGAACATTAAAGTCATTTTAGGCATTAGAAATCCAATTTCCCTTGATAAAACCAAAACCCTAATTTTGGGGTCTCAGTGCTTAGGAGGTGGTTTGACCTAGTCAACACTTATGCAAGCTTGAGCCATTGAGGATCTTTGTGAAAAGTGTATTGAGAAAATGGGAGGGGGTAAATTTTTGGGTACAACACACACTAATACTATTACTCTTCCTTTTTTCAACAATTTGGAAAAGGTTTAAAAATAAGAACCAAAGAATTAACAAAAACATGTACCAAATACCAAAAATTGGAATGCCGTAGTGCAGAACCGTTGTCATTGTTAAGGAGCAATTACAGACCCATGAACTAAAATTAAAACATGCAAAAATACAAGGGCCAAAAAAATAAACCTTAAATAAACACATCAGACATGAAAGAATGCAAATGACAACATCCAACTACATCAATCCTCAGGGCTTTTCTCCTTTTCCTCACTAGCAAGTTTCTCTTCCTCTTCACTGTCAAATTCTTCTTCTTCCTCTATGTACTTCTCCTTGGTCCACATTTTGATCAATCTATCTACATTCCTCTTCCTGATGGTACTTGCATTAAGTGTTTCTTGCATAGCCTTTGAAACTTCCATTAGCTCGAGCAACACATCCTTTCTAGTGGATTTGGTTACAGGAGAAGAATTCCCCCTGTAACTTGACCCTTGTGCTTTGTCACCATATTGTTTGGAATATGTGTTCCGACAAACAACTTTTTATCAAGGGTTAGTGAGCCTGCATTTTTGTATTGAGATTCTTTTGGATGCACAATCTCATAATTTTGATTCAAGATAATTCAAATTAACAAACACGGAAATGATATGGGTAGCTTCAGAGAAAAGGAGACAACATGATTTATAGTTTTCTCAAACACGTAATATCCAAAATTTATCTTTGCCTTTATGCCTATTTGGAATATAAGTTTGGAAAATGCAAAGGTTATACTTGAACTGTGATTTATGAGTGCATAATTGGATGCACAAATCATATTAAAAATAAAGTACTTCACACTCAATTTTTGATTAGTGAGTAATCCTCTGTTGGGCCATTATTGCACTTGTCAACCAATTATTTCCTTATCAATCTTGTCAATGGATGAAGCCTTATCAGACCCTACAAACTTTCTTCTTCCTAAATAATCATTAATAATTAAGGGTGAAAACTTCACACACTTCCATCTAACATATACCTTCCTATACTCCTGACTTCATTCAACATTGCAACCAGGCGAGAAGTCCACAATAAACTCCTTGACAAACTTTTTATAGCAAGGACCAATATCTATTACAATCTTCATTAACCCAACAAATTTTATAAAATCCATAATCTCTTTACAATTAAGAGCTTATGTGCCTAGCTCTCTTTCACAAGCAATCCTTCTTTGAAAAACATATTTTCACTTATGAACACTTGTTTAAAAATATAATGAGACATTATCCAAGGGAGCAACATCAACATTCACAAGAATCCTCTTTCCACCAACATTTCTCCTTATACTGGACACAATGTCCTGCACATCTTCTCCAGCATCTGTCTCAGAGTCACTTGGTTGAACAAGCTTTCTCTTTAGAGACTTCTTCTCAACAATTTTCTCTTAAACCTTTCTTTTCTTATTCACGAGCGTCCTTTGTGGAGTTTTCTTCTTCATAATTTCAGTGTTCTTCATGGAGGTTTTAGGAGGTACATATTTCTTCTTATCTTATACCCTATCAACCATAGACCTATATATACTCTTCATAACAATGACAATAGGTTCTTCATCAGTTTCAGTCTCTTCATCCACATCCATTACTTCTCTATTTCCCGAGTATCTTTGTCTTGATACTTGGATACACTCTTAATGATTCTCTTCATTAGGTTGGAAATAGGAATGTCATCATACTCATTTACTTCTACATTCCTTTCTCCTTGAACCTCAGGTTCTTCAATTGAGGGATATTATCCCTCAAATGTTCAGATAAATCATCATCTTCATCCAAGATGTCATTCACATTTGTATCAAAGACAAGAATATCAACAACTGATTCAGTTGGTGGTTCAACACCTGGCTCACCAGATGTTGGAATGTATATTTTAACATTTGGTTCAACATGTGGATCGTCATATGATTCAACATGTGGTTCCACATGAGGTTCCTCAAGAGTGGTTTTAGCATGATCAATGATTTTCCTAATGGGGGTTGGAACCAACATCCTTAGCAATATTCATAAATTCAAAAGGATTATGAACATGCTTATATGGCTCATTTTCAAATGTTTTCTTCTTTTCATAGTCTATATACTTAGTTCTTTCTTGTGAAATATCAACATGAATAGTTATATGAAGAAGTACAACATCGCACACCACACCTTATTCATTAAGCCTGCTGCTTGACCCAAAAGTGCTAAGTTTTTCTTAGTTATTTTCCCCCCAGTTTGACTCCTAGCATCTTGACCCCATACATATTGGTAATTGGTTTGGGTTCATAGGTATTAGCTTCATTAGATTTTTTGCTCATTTTTAACTGGTTTAAGGGGCTTGAGAGATATGAATGTGAACAATTGTGGTAGAATAATAGAGAGAGAGAGAGAGAGAGAGAGAGAGAAATAGACATGCGAGTAAAAAAGGAGAATATTTGAAAATGAACTAAAATAAGAATAATGTGCCTTATATCACATGCTGCAATGATCACAAGAGAGGGAAACTTTCCCTTTCTCCTTGCACGCCTCCCTTGCATTAATTTCTATAAGATTTTAGACATCCAAATACCAAGAGCACCCATTAGCTTTTCAAACATGACATCATGTAAGGCTTTTGTGAAAATTTCTCTTAGTTGACTTACTTGTAGATAAAGATAGTAGGAGAGACTTCCTACAAGGCTCATCTCAAATTTATATTGCATTTGATGAACAAAATGTTTCACCATCTTGAAGACATCAAAAGTGACAAAATTTTCTTTAATCAAGTTGATCTAAGTGTATCTTAAAATATCATCTACGCACATGAAAACATATCTTTTTCCACACATGCTTTCCACTTGCATTGGCTCCATGAGGACCGTATGAAGTAACTCAACAACTTTTGAGGTGGTAAGATGTTGAAGCTTCTCGTGGGACATCTTGGTCTGATTTCCTATTTGGCACTATCCACCGATTTTTCTTTCTTCAATCTTGAGCTTTGACAATCCCTTGATAGCATCTTCAGATATGATCTTTTTCATACTCTTAGTCTTGAGGTTGAGATGACGACCTTGAACCTTTCATTAACATTTTTTATCTTTGTTGGAAACAATGCATTCTAATTTGTTGAAACTCACATTCAGACTTTGATCGCATAGTTAACTTATACTGATCAAGTTTGTAGTTAATCCTTCCACCAGTAGCACATCATCAAGGCTAAGGAGATATGGAATGACCAATTTACATATACCCTTGATTTTTCTTCTTGCTCCATCACTAAAAGCAACATAACTATTGAAGTAAGATTTTAACTCTTCTAGATAGTTCTTTTCTCCAATCATGTTCCTGGGACATCCATCATCAAATTATCAATCTTTTCTTGAGTAAACATTATAGGTGTATGAGTTATGGGACTTGTGGTTGTTTCTTTGGGATTCCAAATTTTTCTTGCTTGAGTGTTCTTTCCTCTTGTTTTGTTGAACCTTGGTTGACTATAGAGCATAGGATATTCATACAGTCTATACCAATAGGGCTTTATATGACCATATCTTTCACCGTAGAGACATCTCCATAATAAGCTCTTGTTTCCTCTGTTTTAAGGATACATATCTTGAACCAGATGTTGCAACATATGGTCCAACATTAGAAACCTAGTCTTATTCTTAGGGGGAACAAACTTCTTGGTGAGAACTTTGATTTCTTTGTTCATGGATATGTAGTCAAACTCTATTCCCTTCATATTCCTAGACATCTTTCCAACTTCCAAGATTTTATCAAGCATATTTGAACCATTGTTCAACATATAAAGAGATTTTTTTTCATATTTTCAAGCTTAGAATTTAAGAGAGTTACTTCCTCTTCAAGACCAGTGATGGTTGAAACAAGTTTCTATTTTTCCGTAAGGAGAGAACTTATAGTTTTCTTTTGTTTCTCCCTACAATGCAAGCTTCCTTCCCCCGATTATACAACAGCCTGTATGTTGCAGCTAACTCTTCATCAAAGATGTCTTTATCACTAGACTCACTATCAGATTCATATTTTCTTGTGATAAATCTAAACATGGTATTGTCCACACCATTGAAAATAACATTCAATTCCTTGAAGTTTCCCAAAGCTTCATCATCTTCAACATTTGTCCAATCTGTTTCAAGTTTTAAGATAAATGTTCCATCTTGAGAGGAAGTCACAAGGTGTTTACAACCTTTTATAACAACCTTACATGTTTTGTTGTCCATGGACTTAAGGAAATCAACCACTTTGGATTTCCAATAATCATAGTTGGTTCCATCTAAGACATACGGTCTATTGATCGATCCTCTATCCTTAGTATTGTCCATTTGAATAGAAAATACTCCCACTAGAGGTCACCCAAACAGAACAGGGTGCTTACCCCTGATTCCAATTGAAATTCTATTCTAGCGCGTGGATAAATATTGCAAATGATGTCTAAGACAATATGTTTAATATCTTAAACCAAAATTAATATAAAATATAAAATATATTATAAATCATAAAGCAATAAAGAACACAAGAGAATTGGTAACCCATTTCAGTGCAACGTCACCTACATCTGGGAGGCTTATGACCCAAGAAAGTAAATCCACTCTCAATAGTATTAGTACAACTAATCTTAGATGAACAAACCTTATGCAATTCCTACTTCCTAATACTACTCGTGTCTTTATATTTAGGACTCCCATAAATATAAGAACCCTTCTCACTTTATCTCAATCAGTACTCTAGTGATCTAAGCTTTCAAAAAATTAAAGATGTTGAATTATAACTCAACTAACAATCAACCTCTATGCCTTGCATCTTCAGGCTAGGCTTCTTTGGAGGTTTACAATAAACAACAAGAACACAAATACTCAAAGAAAAAAACATTAATACAATAGATCTTCAATACTTTTGTGATTTCTTTGTTAGTACCGAGTCTCTATATATAGCGCTCCATCTGCAAAGTCTTTAAAAGATTTGATTTGATGAAGATTTGTTTTTAAAGAAGATTTTAGTTGGTTGTCCAACAAGATATGATTTTAAAATCATTTTAAATATTCTTAGATTTGATATGGTCATGGAGAATCTTTTAGCCAATCTTCCTTAACTTCATATACAAAACATAAATGACAAATCTTCTTAGAATCAACTAAAAACGCACTCAAATTTACTCACCGAATTTGTCTTCCAGACTGAGGACAGATTAATAAGTGAAAATTGTAGCTATTTTTGTATATACTTATTGTTGCACTTATTGACTTTTTGTTGTTAATATCGGTTGAATAAAGCCGACTTTTGTGTAAATAAGTTGAGTTTGTGTTTATTTGTGTTTGTGTGTACATAGTGTACCGTTTGATGTTTTTCCATTCCTTTTGTAGGTATTTGTTGCATTTTGGAGCATTGAGGAATAAGGTGTCGAAGGCACGGCTATGGATGAGCGTTTTCAAAATAAAAGACTAGTTTTGGGAAGTACTGTTCAGGAGAGCCCGCTTAGCACGCAGAAGGCCGCTAAGCGCGAGTGCGCTCAACGCATTTTGTAGTGTGCTGCTTGCGTTTTTACTATTTTGGCAGAAGCATTGTTTAGAAGCCCGCTTAACGAGGTGTGCTTAGCGCGATTTAGGTCGATTTAATGTGTAAATATTGCGCAGCCCGCTTAGCGTGGTCTACTAAGTTGAGTTTTATAAAAACAGATTTAGTTCATTTTTAGGTTATGGTTTTAGGGAAGTTTTTGCTCCCAACTCCATCAACCTTTAATTTTGTTAGGATTAGCTTAGATAACAACTATGGAGCTTGCATACGGATGATCTGGGGTGGATTTCTCTTTGATCAGCACTGACAAATCGGTAGATATGTGGTTTATTTCTCTTTTTCTCTGTGTATTCTCTTTTGGTTGGGTTTGTATATGTATTTTCTTTGAACTCATGTATATTTTTTGCCCTTGGCGTTATATAAAACTTGCCTTACAAATCTTTGTTGACTGTTATCCTTGATTTTTGCTGTGTGCTAGGGATTTGAGTTGCTATAGACATATACTACTTAGATTCTTATCTAGGATGATTATCTAGTAGTGTCTGAATTCTAGAGATAGATTTAGCACTGTTATTCACTTAGGGTATCTGTGATTAATGTCGTTGTGTTGTTTGTGCTGCTCTGAGAGATCGTTGATGTAAGCGAGTACGATTGACTTCTATGTTGTTGAGGTGATTGAGAGATCGCTACCGAGGTGATGCAGTAGGCCTCTCAATTTGAGTTAGAAATGACTTAGGTTGTGAGTGACATATGATGACATTGATGAATATTGTAGGTTTAGTATAAAAGGTCGATAGGTTTAAGTCTGTGAGAAGTATTAAATATGCATGCTTGATAAGTTGTTCCTTTTTCCTTTTTATACATTCTTTTTTGTTGATACTTTCACTTTCGACCCATTTATTCCCAAACTCATTAAGGATAGATTTATCGAATGACAAATCGATAACCAATCTCTCTGGACATGATACGATATAACCTAAATATCACCCGGTAAAAATAACACTTTAGTTTTTGCTTGCCTCTCTTCACAGTAACAAAATGGCGTTGTTGTTGGGGATTGGTGTTTATTGTTTTGCATTGTGATAGTTTCTTTGTTTTTGAGTTTTTTAATTAATGTATATGTTGTATAGAATATGAACATAAACTTGTCTATTTTTACTTGTACATGTTTTGTGTTTACTTTCCATACTTGTGCATATATATGTTTTTCTTTGTTTTCACGTATTGTTGTGAATTGTCTCATTTTCGTAATGTTTGTTGTGTAGATGTTAGGACATTTTCTTTAGGTTTGCGCAGTGTGACAATACCATGGCATGGCGATAGGAGGTTACTAGCTCGTGCAATAAAGGCATCGAGCTTACGACAAAAAAAAAGCATGTTTTGTTTGTGTTCATTTATGTATGTGTTGACTTGTGTTTTAACAAGTTGAAATTGGACCTGTTTTAAATTCTCAAATTTTCACTTTTCAACTTGTTAATTCACTTTCAACCATTTATTTCGTTATGTCA